CCTGTGAGCCGGTGACGTGCGGAGGCGACGGCCAGCAAAGGAGGAGCCGCGGCGGGAGACGGGGAAGGAGGCGCGAGTGGGACAGGAAGGGAGAAGGTTCTGCCGAGGCCTGGGACGGCGTCGCCTGCTGACGACCGCGGCACCGCTGGAACGCCCGCAGATCTGGAAAACGTGCCGCCCACTCTCTCCTGCCGCTCACCTGTAGTTTGGAACCTAAGCTCGCCTTTTTCAGGTTTAAATAATTGCCTTATTGAGGTGCAGTTCACATCCCGTACTCCTCACCTTACTCAAAGGGTAAAGTTTAATAGCATTTTCACGAAGTCGTGCGACTGTCGCCACATCGCTTTTAGGACGTTGTCACCACCCCTAGAGAAGCCCCGCACTCATCCGTCGTCACCCCGTTTCCTCTGTCCGCAGCCACTGACCCGCCTGTTCCGGATACTCTATGTTAAGGGTTCCCTTCGTGGCTGGCTTCTGTCCCTCAGCACCATGTCTTCAAGGTGCACCACGTGGTAGCACCTCGCTCCTGTCCACGCTGAGGGACGTTCCTCTGCCGAGGGACGTTCACTGCGTCCTCCTCGTAGCTGTCGTGAACAGCGCTGCTAGGACATTTCCGCACAAGTGTTTGAGTGGAGATCAGTTTTCCTTTACTTGGGGTGTACCTAGGTGGACTCGCTGGGCCACAGGATCGCAGGTGACTACTGCGTCCAGCTTCTGGAGGAGCTGCCCGGCGGCCTCCCAGAGTGGCTGCACCATCTGCGTTCCCACCAGCCTGCTGCCAGGGTCCCAGTTTCTTGGCGCGACAATGTCATTCTCGTGGGTGTGCCGTGGCATCTCATGGTGGTGTTGATTTGCATTCCCTGATGGATAATGACGTTTTCGTGCGCTTATTAAGAATCTTCTTTGAGAAATGTCTATTCAGATCCTTTACCCATTTTTAAATTTTTGGTTTTTTAAAAAATTATTGAGATATAAGTGTTCTTTATACAATTATGTTGTCAGACATTGTTTACAATTCCCGTAGGAGATACATGGTTGCGAATATGTTTTCCATTCTGTGGGCTTTTTCACTTTCCTGATAGTGTCCTTTGCAGCAAAAAAGTTCTTAATTTTGATGAAATCCAACTTACCTATTTTTTTCTTTTGTGACTTATGCTTTCGGTGTCATATCTAAGAAACCATTGTCTGATTCAGAGTCAAAGATTATTATACCCAGGCTTTCTTCTGAGATTTTTGTAGTTTAATTCTTACCTTTTAAGTTTTTGATCTGTGTTGAGTTAATTTTTGTATATGGTGTTAGGTGGGGGTCCAGCTTCATTCTTTTGCATGTGGATAGTCAGTTTTCTCATGCCATTTGTTGAAAAGACAGTTCCTTCCCCATTGAATTGTCTTGGGACCCTCACTGAAAATCAGTTGATCCCAGAAAATCCATTTCTCTTTTCTCAGTTCATTGGTGTATATTTCTATACTTGTGCAAAGAACACATTATTCTGATTACTGTAGCTCTGTAGTAGGTGTTGAAATCAGGAAGTGTGAGTCCTCCAAATTTGTTTTATTTTTTTCAAGATCGTTTTGGCTGTTCTGTGTTCTTTGCATGTCCTTATTAATTTTAGGATCAGCTTGCCAGTTTGTGCAGAGAAACCAGCTGGGATTTTGATGGGGATTGCATTGAATCTGTAGATTTATTCGAACTATTGCCAACTTAAGGTCAAATGTTCTGAATCATGAACAGAGAATGTCTTTCCATTTATTTAAGTCTTTAGTTTCTTTCAACAGTGCCTTGCAGTTTTCAGTGTGCATAAGTCCTGCACTTCTCTTGTTAAATTTATTTCTAAGTATTTTATTCTTTTTGATACTACTGTAAATGGAATTGTTTTCTATTTTCATCTTCAGAATGTTCATTGCTAGTGTACAGAATTAAACAATTGATCCCTGCAACCTTGCTGAATTTATTTGCTCTAATATATTTATTTTTTAGTGGATTCCTCGCATTTTCTAACAGAAGCTTATGTCACCTGCAAACAATATCAGTGACATTTATTTATTTATTTATTTTTCCTGCCTAATTATCCTGGCTACAGCATCTACTAAAATTTTGAATAGACATGGCAGGAGGGGACATCCTTGTCTTGCTCCTGTTCTTGGAGGAAAAGTATTCAGTCTTTCACCATTGAGGATGATGTTAACTGTGGGGATTTTTGGTGCCTTTTATCAGGATGAGGAAGTCGTCTTTTTTTTTTTTTTTTAAATATCATGAAAGGGTATTGAATGTTTCAGTTTATCTGATGATTCCTTTATTTTCTCCATGGTCCTTGCTATGGTTTGGATGAGGTTTGTTCCCACCAAAACTCATGTTGAAATTTGATTTCCAGTGTGGCAATGCTGGAGGTGAGACCTAGTGGGAGGTGTTTGGATCACGGGGTTAGATTCCTCATGAATAGATTAATGCCTCCATCGGGGGTGAGTGAATTAGTTCCTGCGAGAGGGGGTTGTTCAAGAGTCTGGCTTCCTCTGTTTCTCTCTCTTGCCTCCTCTCCCACCATGTGACCTCTGTGCACACGCCCTATCTCCTTCCACCATAAGTGGAAGTGCCCTGAGGCCCTCGCCAGCTGGCACTGCCCACCCTCAGACTTTCCAGCCATCAGAACTGGAGCCAAATGTTCTCTGTAAGTTACCCAGTCTCAGGTATTCTGTGACAGCAACGCCGATTGGACTAAGTCCTCCATGTTTATCTAGCTTAGTACTGGAAAAAAACCATTAGGCTGGAGACTTGAGAGACCTCAGTCACATGTTCCTGTGTCCCCAGTTTCCTTATCTGTATAATGAGTGTGTTGAAGAAGATTCCTGATGTTACTTTTCTCTGTAAAAAAATCGTGATTCTTCCTTTACATTTTCTTTCATAGAGAGAGAGAGGCAGGGAGAGATGTGTGCGTGTGTGAGACAGACAGACAGAGACAGAAAGAAATTGGATATGATGCCGTTATCAGTTATATGTCTCCTTTCTCTCTGTGGACTCTCCTAATAGTGTCTTTTCACGAACAGAAATTCTTTTAGGTAGTCTTATTTATTATTAACTTTTTGTTCCCTTTTGAAGAAACTTTTGCTCACCCAAACTCATGAAGATATTTTTAATGCTGTGTTATACAAACTTTGTTACTTTGAGTCTCTTATTTAGATCTTCAACTTGTATAGAATGACTTTTTGTGTATTGTATGACATGTGTGTGGGGGGGTGTCACAATTTGCTATTTTAAAACACATATTCCAGTGCAATGTTTATTTAAAAATAACCCTTTCTGAACTCTTCTGCAGTGCCACCTTTGTCATAAACAAAGTATCCATACAACTGGGTCTGCTCTGGACTCTTTAGTGTATCGTCTATTCTTATACTTGTCTTAATTATTGTATCTTTATATGAACTGCTGATAATCAGTGGAGTAAGTTCTTCCACCTTCTTCAAGGGTGTCTTGTGTAAGCTTGGTACTTTGCAATATTACATAAATTTTAGAATTAGTGAGTAAATCTCTACAAAAAGCCTACTGCACTTTGATAGGATTGCATTAACTCTAATTCATGGACATGAAATACTCCTTCTTTTATAAAGATTTTCTTTAATGTCTCCAAATATTCATTTATAAATTCTGTCTAAAGGTCTTGTACATCTTCCATTAGATTTGCCCCTACTTTCTTAATGTACTTTCTGATGCTATTGTCAATGTTACCTTTTTAAATTCATTTTATTTTTGTTGATGATATATAGAAATACTAATAAGACATTTAACAGCTTTGCTAAATGCACATATTCTTTCAAACAATTTATCTATAGATTATTTTGGATTTTTTTCATACACATTCATATCACCTATGACTAATGGCAACTTAATTTTTTTCTTTTTGATCTTTACACCTGTTATTTGTTTTTCTTGCCTTATTGCAGTGGCTAAGGCCTCAAGTAGAATGTTGAAAGGTGATAATATCAAGCATCCATATGTGACTTCCAAGGGCTGGGGGGTGTTTTCAACATTTCACTACTAAGGATGGTGTTGTATGTGTTGGTAGATACCCTGCATCAGATTAAGGAAATTGTCTTCTATTCCTAGAATGGATGTTAAATTTTATCAAATGTATTTTCTGAGATATTGAGGTAATTATTTTATTTTTCTCCTTTTATCCTATTAATTTAGTAAATTTTATTGATCAATTTGTAAACATAAAGTCAACCTTATATTTCTGGAGTGGACCATCCTGGTTATGACATGTTTACATATCTTAAATTGTGTTCAGAATGTTGACCTTGAAGACAAATTGTGGGATCACTCTGCCTGTTTGATCTACATTTGCATCCAGAGCTCCGTGAAGTAGAGAGCATAAAAAACTCATGTTGAATAGCTTTAGAGAGGTAAAGTCACTGATGCTATCATGGATTGAGTCCTAGACTGTAAGATACATGAGGAGTGTCAGTGAACATGCAGCCCTGGGTCTTCTGTAACTGTTGGCATCCCTGGTGTTATAGTGAAAACACAGGTTCAGAAAAACTACATTTATTTTATTTATCTAAGATCATTCTCTCTTAGAAAATGAGAAACCCCCTTTTCTCATTATTAAATCATGCCAATATGTATGCTCCTTGGTTTAAGATGGGGTTACATCCTTATAAACCCCTTGTAAGCTGAAGATATCCTAAGTCAAAAAGGCATTTAGTACACGTAACCTACTGAACATCACAGCTCAGCCTAGCCTAACTTAAACATGCTCAGCACTTACATTAGACTACGGTTGTGCAAAATTATCTGACACAAAGTCTATTCTATAATAAAGTGTTGAATATTCAACGTTATTTATTGGATAATGTACTGAAAGTGAAAAACAGAATGGTGTTGCACCATTGTAAAGTTGAAAAATCATAAGTCGAACCATTATAAGTCAGGGACTGTATTAGAATATGCTGGATTTTCTGTCTCTCTCTTGCATGCACGCACAAACATGTGCACACACACACCATAAGATGATATCCACTATCACAAATGTTTCTGAGGATGGGTTTGAGCTCAGGAACATTTTTGAGCCCTCCAGCAAGGACGACATGGGGTCCTCACACTGATTTGTCACTGCCAGCAGGTCCACCGGCTTTCTCGCCCTTCATTTAACCCCTTTATCATTGGTTATTTTTCATGAACTTGGAATCCTTGCTCACTTTTCAGTAGCTTGATCTTCTCTGCCTATATCCAGGTCAACAAGCATGCATGGGGGAGGTTAGTCTTTCTGTATTCAGGCCTCATCTGAGTGGTGAGACCTCCACATCACAGAGGACAATCTATTCAATGTCTACCAACTTAAATGTTATTTCCGTCCAAAAACAACCTCACAGAAACACACAGAACGTGTTTGACCAAGCCTCTGGGCACTGTGGTGAGCCAAGTTGACACATGAAATTAAGCAACACACTGAATATTTGGCAAACTTTGTCAACATGAAGGGGCATTCGTTCTTTGACTTTAGAAAGTTCCCTGTCTTATTGATTTGATAAATTTCTTATTTTCATTAATTTCTCCTCTCTTCTTATGATAGGATTTTAATTCTTATTTTGGACTTCCATGGTTAAGCCTTTCTGATTTTATTTTTTCTATCATATTTTCTGTCTCATTATCTTTTTGGGGGAAAGTTTTCTTCAACTTTGACTTCCAACTCTTCTATTATTTTCCTAAAATTTTATTCATCATATTCAAAATTTTTAATAGGTCTTTGTTAATCCCTGCA